ATATCTGTTTATTTAATTAGTTTTATAGCTAATACTGTAATTAGTATACATTCCTATATAGAGTTTCCTTTTTTTTTTTTTTTTTATCCTTCTCTATTCTTATTTTCTAATTTGCCTTCCCTTTCTCCTATCTTGTCCTCTTAGTCTCCCTGTTCAGCTTCTTCCTCCCTCTTTTTACATTTCTTTATAAAGTCTAATTTTCCTATATTTATTATATACTTAATAGTTGCTTAGACTATATCTATATCCGCTTTCTATTAATTTATTAGCTTATTTTTATAAAGCTGTTCTATTACTAAATAAGGGTTTTATTTTTTAATTATTCTAAAAATGTTTCTATATTTAAAGCTTAGCATTTTTACTAATTTATATTTTTAAATTGAGTATTTAGAATAGAGCAGTACATAGTGTCTAACTATCTCTTCTCTCTATTTATATTTACATTGCTCTAAGTCTTTAACGTTAATAGCCTTTAAGAACTTATTTAGATAAGCGTATTCTATATATAGCTATAATAGAATAGCAGCCTTCTTCTTATTTAGCTTATTATAAAGTAGTATAATATATTTGTTTAAAATAGCGCTATTTATTGCTTAAAAGCTTTTACTAGTATTTTATAGTTTATATTATTCCTTAATAAGGATCCTGTCCTAAAAGGTATTCTATATTTATTTTAAGCTATCTAAAATTATCTTTTTTATAATTAACTCTATAGTAAAGGGACTTATAGCCAGTTTGGCTAGTTAGTCTAACTTAATGTGTCCTATAATAGCAAACTTCTTTAGAATCTATTAAATAGCTAGTTTTTCTTTTAGGATTATATAGCAATTAATTATATATAGGATATTTTGCATTATAATAGCCCTTTTTTAGCTAACCTAGCTATTAATTATCCAAATAGCTATTTAGCTATCTAACTATATTAACACTAGTAGGATTGTCCTTCTACAGTTATAGAGTGTCTTTAATAGGATTCCTACTAGGGTTACTGCTTCCTTAATTACAGCTAGTTCTATTATAGTATTATCAATATTGCCTTTCTCTTTAATTTATTAAAAGAGGGTAGTCAATAATATAGCTTTTTCTAAATATACTGTTACTCTAAGTCCTACCTGTCTATTAGCAATAGATCTGTTTATAAATATGTTTAAATGTTGTTCCTTTATTTTAAGGTATTCTTTATATACTTTATTAAAGCTATATTAATTAGACTTTTAATTAATTGTTATTATGCTTTATAATAGGGCTATTTATATTAAAATAGTCTTAATATTTATTTCTAGTTTGCCTAAATACGTTTTTATATTGTAGAAAGAGGAGGCAAATAACTTCGCTCTAAGCTTCTCTATTAGTTTTCTCAGTTGTGCTTTTAATAAGTTAGATTCTAGTAATATATAGAGCTCCACCTAGAATTTATTAATCTTTAATTATAGTTAAATATATAGGAGAAGAAGTAACGCTTTAGCACTAGCTACTTTAATTAAGACTGTATAGAAGCATTTAATAACTACTTAAGCTTCTATTTATTATATTAAATTAAGGATTTTAGTAATGCTATTATTAGTTTTTTAGCTAAGAGAGCGTAAGTACTATATTATAGCTATATAGTCTATTTTTAAAGCTATAATAGCTTAATAAAGTTATTTTGTAGCTTATAGTCTAATATTAACAAAGCGTTTAAGTTAGCTAGCGCTTCTCTATTCTTAAATCTTAATTTTAGCTAGGTGGTCCTTAAATCTCAGTTCAGAGTTAAAGATAACCTCTAAGATTCTTTCCTTTATTAAAGGCTTAACTACATAATTGCTAACCCTTAATAAAGGGTCAGTTTCGCTAATCTTTCTTTAGTTCCTTATAAAATATATAAAAACTGTTTTATTACTTTTAAATGTAGCGCTGCTATCTTTTGCCTATTAAAGGGCCTTTAGGACAACCTTATTATTAAGTATTAATATGTTTTTTTTAATTAAATCTGAAATAGCTTATTATATATAGTTATTTATAAACCCTATATTTCCTTATTTTCTATTAATCTTCTCTTTTATTAGAAATGCGTTAAAGAAGATATATAGAATTAAAGCAAGTATAAATCTTATAGAAAACTAAACTTTATAAAGGTAATTTAGCTTAACTCTGTTTTATTAATAAGTACTATAGGTAGTCAGTTTATATAAAAGGAGTCAACCTATACTATTATATAAGCTAGTATTCCTTCTATATATAGTTAACTAGTAAGCACTTATTAAAAAACGCTATTATATACTCCTTTTATATTAAAGCTAATAAGGAAAAGGACTTTCTTCTATTACTATACTTTAAATACTTTCTTAATTAAAAGGAGCAGCGCTTAGTTATATAATTATCTTAATTTAGCTCCAAATTATGTTTTTAAAAAGAGGTTAAACGTTTCTGCCTAGTATAATATTCTTTTTATTAATACTAATTTTATTGCTTTGCTTAGTATAGCTAAAAGGGAGATAGGGCAGTATGCTTTTATTATTTAGTAGTCCAGCTTGCCTAGCTTTTATAATAATAAGATTTACGCTATTTTCTACGCAGCTAGTATATATTCTAATTAATATAATATATTAAAAATATTAATAACTTAATTACTTAAAATGGATTTAATATATTTATTAAAGCACTAGTTTACCTTCTCCTATATACTAGGATTACAGCACGTTAATTCCTCTTTATACTAGGTTATAATAGTTAAAGTCGCTTCTAATTATAATAGGAAGGTTTTCTCTATATTCTGCTTTAGCTTTATAAATTATATTATTTAGCGTTATAAGCCTAATAGTGATTACCTTTTCTAAATCCTGCTTAGAGGAGGCGTACTAGCTGCAACCTAGGATATAAATTAACATAATGAAAATGTGCCTTATTAAAGTAGTAATAACTCCTATTATTATATTTAATAATTATATAAGGAATTAGATAAAGGAAACGTCTTTATAGGTATATAGTAGTGCCTAAAAGGCATAATGTGTTGGTCCTTCTTATTAGGTAATTGGAGTTATAATGTTCTAGCACTAATATTAGTAAATATAGGGTTTATTACTAATATTAGCAATATTTAGCTTTATAACTATAATTGCTATAAATTAGCTAATAAATTAGTTATTAAAAAGGCTAAATTGGACTAGGGATTATCTATTTACGTTTGCTAGTAGGAAGCGGGTGTTTCCTATTAAGCGTCGCTTATAGTAGCTTCTCTTCTAGGATATTAGCTAATGATTATTTACTATTCTTTATCCCTGCTTTAAATAGACTAGTTAATAGGTTAGCTTCTGCCTCAGATTCTATTAACTTTATTTTAATAGGCTAGGCACCTAGCGTTTATTACAGTATATAGTTCTCTATATATTACGTATTTTAGTACTATAGCTTTATAATTATTTATTTTATAGTTTTTAGCGTATTTACTACATTTTAATAATTAGCTACATTTAGCCTAATAGTAGCTATACGTATTATAGTTATAGTATTGCTAAGGACATTAGAGTTTCTAATATTTATTAATTATAGTTATATTACTGTTAATTTTAATTATATACTTATTAAGAGCTTTTTAAGCATTTTTTATTATAGCTAGGTAGACTACTATAGATCCTATAGGTTTCTCCCTTTTAGAAAGCTAGAATGCCTTAATAGCTTTATTAAACCTGTTTTCTATATTAAATTTGGCTGCTATTTCTAATTTAATTTTATAAATGCCTAATACTAAAACTGCTATTTTATATATATTATTAACTTTAATTAGAAAGAGTTTCTCTTTTTAAATTTAGGCTATTTTGAATACTTAATAAATCTGTATTTTATTTATTTATAGTTATATTATATCTTTCCTATTTTAAATAATTATTTTTATATCCTTTACTTTAAATTAGATTTTTTTAATAATAATATTATTTATAGATTATTAAGCTGTAATAGCTTTCTAGATTTTATTTCTAATTGCTTTATAATTATTTATTATTTTGCGCTATTTAGCTATTATTTAGCTTAGGTTTATTATAACCTTTAGAAATTAGCGCAGTTTTTTAAAAAAAATAAGTAATATTATTACTATAATATTACTATATTAAAGCTATATAGCTAATAATAATAAATTAATTAAGCCTAACGCTGCTAATATATAGAAGATTAATAAGGAGGCTATTATATTAAAATTAGCTAAGGATATTGAGCTTATTTATTTAAAGGTTAAAAGGACTATCTTTCCTTTATTAATATTAGATTTAATAAATTAAACTTTAGTATTTAAAGCTTTAATATTAATATTAATATTTTTAATATTTATATTTATATTATTAAGCTTCTTTTTAAGCTTTTTATTTTTCTTTATAATAATATTAAATATTGCTATTATTACAGCGTTCTTTTAATAGAATTGCTTATTCTAAATCTGGAATAATCTATTCTGATTTTAGAATTATTTATTCTATATATAGAATAGTTTATTCTGCTCTTAAAGTTACTTAAATAGCTTATTAAGCTTGTTGTTCTAAGCATTAAGTTTGTCATTCTAGGCATTTACTGCTCCTTTAATAAGACATTTCATTATATCTTTTGTAAAAATAGCATTATCACTTAGATTAAGGGAACGGATAGGCTGAATTAGCCTTTTGCTCTATTTAATGTTTCTAGCTCTTCTCTATATTGCTATAGCAGCGTTCTGTCCCTTTGGGGACGACGCTGGTATGACTATGGCAACGGCGTTGTCAGAACGGTCGGGCGGTACCCTTTCCCTCGACTAAAATCGACGTGAGTTGGATGGTTCGACTCGTCGAGTCGGCTTGTAGATGAAACTGTCAATAAAATGATGAATATCGATAAAAAATATCGATGTCGTTTTCGGGTTTGTCCCCAACGAGACGGCTCATTATTCGCGAGCACTAGTATGCGAGCCTGCCACGCCTGCGTTGCTGCCAGCCAATATATGCTGTTCACGAATCATTTTCTGCTATGGCCGTACGCTCTGAAGTGTACTTTCCACATCCCATGTGGTCTAGCGGCTAGGATTTGTCGCTTTCAAGCACAGCTGTGCTAAGATCCGACAAGGCCGGGGTTCGATTCCCCGCATGGGAAATACTTTTGCGCTCCTGTTCTCGAGCCCCGCATGTCTGTCTCACTTTTGGTTCCCTCACAGTCTCGACCGCATCGGAAATACTTTTGCGCTTCTGTCGAGCCCTGCATGTCTCACTTTTGCTACCCTGAGAGTGTCGACGACAGTCTTTTTGCATCGCTTGCTGAAAACAGAGTCCACGGGACCTACCTGGCAAATCTGATACTTTCGTCAAGGCACATCTCGTTCCATTCGGTATGTGGCAGAAAATGGGTAATCTTCGTGTCAGCAGTATGTACTATCAACTGTATATAGCGAATAAGCTTCATTGCACGAAAGATTATGATGTGTGGTAAATGAACAAGTGCCCAGATTGGCAGAAGAACAACCACATGTCCACTGCATGGTCGTCAAACTCGACGGAACCATCGGCAAAGAACAAAAAGTGGCAGAAAATAGCATTGAGAAAAACAGTGACATGCTACAATCTGCATGTCATGGAGAAGACAAAATTAGCTTCTTAATCTCAGGGCTTTCATTGACAGGGGGACCCTGTTCGCCGTTTTATCCTTTACTTTTTGACTTTTCCACCCTTGCTCCTGTTATACATTTACTACTCCACTCCCGATAACACCGATGGGTATAGGTAGCTTTGCCTCGTCGTTGTGTCCTCCTATTCGCTTTCACAGTCTGCTTTCCGCGGGCACGATCTAATGCCGGTCATGCATGCATATTGGTTCCTTTTTGCCTGATATCAACAACTCCGATAACACGTGCAGCAGCGAAAGATTAGCAAGAAAGCATGATCATGTAAGGTGGTAAGGTAGTTAGTCTTTTTTGCCTCTCTCCGGCCCTTCCATGACGATCCGGTTTGGGCGCGTGAAGATGCATGTCTGCCGCGTGTTATGTTGTGTGTCTTTTGCCTTCTCTATGCCCTATAGGCCTATACCCTAGCATACATCAACAAAAACAATGATCATACTCGGTCCTTGACTGAGTCTGCAGATTCCGAGTTGTATATGTACACATACCACACCAACCTCGAAAATAAGGAAGTTCGGAAAATAAGGAAGTTCGAAAGTGAAGTTTCCTGCAGCCCAGGAATAGATAGTGGCATACACAAAGCATCCCCTTCCCCCATGCCATTCCCTCCCAGAACCGGAGTCACGTCCCGGAAGATCTTCCAGATAGATCTACAACACCCTAGAAAGCCAAACCTAGAAATACACCACAGCACGTTTATTCCTTCCCCCCCGAGGCTCCACCACGTGAACAGCCCATCACGTCCCTCCACAGCTCTCTAATCTCAAACTTTAAGAATATTGGATATACCAGGAAGGAGTGGAGCATACATAACGCAATGCCGCTCTTCCGTTGTGCTATACAGACCAAACATCCTGACCGCAGATCAAACACCCTGACCGCAGATCCAAGATCCAAGATCCAAGAGGCAAAAAAAGAAAAAAACGACCTCAGAACCTCGTCTATCCTTTCTCTCTAATCACTTTCACTCTAATCTTTTCCACGTGAAATGAAGATCCTTCGGATGCGGTGGCCACCCGTCAAGTCCTTCCCTTTTCACTCCTTCTTTTCGTTCTCAAGCTTGGTAGTCTTTAGTCTTTACTTGCCCTCCTTCTCCCAGCTAACTCTACCTTACCCTACCCTATTCTTTACCGCCCTCCTTATCCTTCTCCCTATCCCTCTCCCTGCCTATACCTGCCTATACCTGTCGACATAGCCCTGCCCAATCCCATCCTATCTCCCTCACTACCTTATCCAATCTTCTACTCCGACCTCCGGCAAGAGATTTGCATGCAATGCATGATAGGACCCACTTTTTCCACTTCTATCTGCCCTACTGACCATCTCCATTTTCTCGCACGAGTAAATTGTCATATCTGATATACAAAGTGCAGGTACAAGTAGGGTATGGCCATTTCCGTTTCCGCTTTGCCGACGGGCGTTCTTCTTTTCTCTCTCTCTCTCTGTGTCGTCTCGTCACTAAGGTATTCATATCAGTGGCGATGGGGGATAGTGTTTCGGGATGGCGAAAAGTGTGCATGTCAGAATTATATTAGGCTGATTTCAAGCATTGCATCTGATATCTGATACGCGATACCTGCACGTGGCGTAAGGTCTACCATGTACGCCACAAGTCACGAAAGATAAGCTTCCTCTCAGACTCAATCGTGTTGGGTATAGTACACTGATATTGGATGGAGCAGTACAGGACATTACAATGCTCATAGGTGTATAATGATATGATTGGGTACAAGAAAAAAGCGCTTCCGCAGCACTTGAGAGGCCAAGAACGGCCTATAGGTTTTCAGGTTGACTGTACCGACTGTGCTGTAATCCAGACCGAATGTCTTGTTTTCCAGACCGAAACGCCATGCTGTGATATCAAAACTCCGCTTCACAATGCCAAAACGACTTCAGCTTCATAGGCCTGATACGCGGTAGTGGCCACCCAGTTCTCCGTTCTCAGCATCAGGACCGTGACGGTAAGTTTCTGATGGAATGTAAAGATCGTCGTGCTGTTTGCGAGCCTCATCAGGCGAGAGAAAATCGTGGTGCTCTGCGCTAGGACGTCCGAGCTCCGTCTTGTCAGAGTCAGCGCCGTCGTAACGTCCGCCTCTGTTGCGGCCTCCAGAATATGGATTCGTGGGGCCAGTGGGTTCAGCAACGGTTGAAGCGTTGCCATAGTTTGCTGGGGCTTTTGGAGCACGAGTTTGACCTCTACCGGCACCATCACGCACATCCTGCGAGCGATGGATGCCGTTATCGTCGGCAATGTACTCACTGCGTCCCACTGCAACGTTTGGTCTGGCTACATCGGCAGAAGTTGCCGCTGTATCCTCGTCGACAGTGAAGACTTCCGCCTCTTTATCATTGAAATCTTGACCGGGATTGGTGGTCTCGTACTCGAGGATCTTGATGAGTTTGTAAAAGCCGACAGCGACGAGAGTACCGAGGAATGGACCGAGCCCTGTAGCTAGTAGTCAGTACATGTTTGACCATGACGGGACCTTTTCAAGTCTTTGCACTCACAATAGATCCAATGATAGCCGGGGAAGTCGTGGAGTACGACACAGGGACCGAAGGAGCGAGCAGGGTTCAGAGAGCCTCCAGTGAAGTAGACGCCTGAGAAAACATCAGTATTTGTATCATGTCAGAGCATTGCAACCAGACTTACCAGTAAGCTCAGCAACAAAGAGTGCCAATCCAATTCCAATTGGTGCCATGAATGTTCCCTTGTGCTTCTCTGCCGCCAACATGAAAATGGTGAAGACGAGCAATGCCGTGAGGAACATCTCAATGAAGAGACCTTGAACGATGGAAGTTCCTCCACCGAGCGTAGTCGAGACGTTCATGGGCCCGGGAAAGAGGCATTCAACAACGCCGGCAGCGGCCATAGATCCAAGGATTTGTGCAATAAAGACCAGACCTCCCCTCAACCATTTCACGCCTCCAATCAGACACAGACCGAGAGTCACTGCCGGATTGAATAGTCCTCCAGTGATACGGAAGAAGACCCACGCGTTGACAGCGAGGGAGAAGCCAAAGGCCAAGGCGATGAATAGCAAAGCAGATGTGTTTGGCGCCTGGGAAATACCACCGTCACCACCACTACTTGTTGAAGACTCGTCTGATGTAGCGGCATTGGCAACTTGGGTTGCAGAAAAGGCGAAGAATAGGAAGAGGAATGTACCGACGAACTCGCCCATCATGGCGATGAAGTGATTTCGGTACCTGTTGGGAAGCCATTCGAAACCAGGCAAGCGTTTCTCATGTTTGCCGTCTGTGGGACGATACTTCATGAACGGGAGGCTGATGCCTCCTCTTGGAGCGTCGATGTTCATAGTGGCTGTCCTGTTGTGATATGGATTCGACTATCAGGTCTTGGACGTGCCGTGTGTTGTCAAGGTAAGGTAGGTATGATGCTTGCTATCTCAGATTTACAGGTCGTAGTTATACAGGTTATGAACGCGGCAATGCAAGGTGGTGAATAGGACGCGCAGACCTGGGATTATGAGTAGTGTAGAGAAAAGAAGGACAAGGTCAAAGACAGTGATGTAGTCCAAGATGGCCCGGTCGAGAAAAAGGTAGCATGACGGAGGAAGGTGCGACTGGCACCAAGTACCGTACACGCGGCTCGTGCGTACGAGTGGAGTGCATTTGGAGGATAGAGTTAAAAGAAGCGGCTGGGGGATCAAGAGTCGAATGCTCAGCTCGGCGAGGCTCGAATATTGATCTGCCCTAACGCCTATTTCGTAACCGTAAAGGGCGTCGATGGAGAGACAAGCGGTTCACGAAGCTAGCAGGAAAACTGCCTCTGACGCACTGCTCTCTCTCTCCACACAATCCCTTGCGTGAAATCTATTCTCTGTACTCATACCCCACCTTCGCTTGTCGAGATTTACGATTTTTGGTCGGAGATTGGCGAGACATCATCATGGTCCGCCGCGTAATGGTGTGGTGTTTGTGATATCCACCCGTGGCCACCACGCTCAGACTTTGCGTTGTGCATCATAATGGTGCCGTTACTCCCATGGCAATGGCATATACCAACGACAAGGAGTGGCATTCAGGAGGAAGCTCGAAACGCAGTACTCGTGCTGTCCCGCAGTGCCTCGCACATGCAGGGATTGTCACCAGATGTTGATGTCACATCGATCCGTTGGAGCATGGGTCTCGTTTCGAGCCGCAAAGTCGAATCGTAGATCCTACCCGTTCTACGGGGATGCGGCTGAGTTTACTTGGCAGTGAACAATGAAGACGCTAACTTCCTTCTCTGGTGATAACGACACGATAACAACAATCCAAAAGTAAGGTATGAGTGCTGGCAGTATGTGCACGGAGATGCTGTGTGTGTTTTGAGACACAAGACATGCCGATCAACACGACTTTCATTCCAGAGACGAGGCACACGTGAGCCTGAATGTGCATGAGTCAGTCAGGCGCTGTGGCGGCATCGTGCCAGACAAAACGGCCTTGGCGAGGTTTTAGCACTTCCAGGTTG